CACTAGCTAGTTTGGGGGTCTTCAGAGAATGTCATCCATAAATAAAACCGGTGTGGTCTAAGTGGTCATTGATGAAGATAAGACATTGAGCATAAACATAAGGTCATACTGACTTAATTTCATGAATAACATCCTCTAAATACCCCCAAAACTAGTGCGGGCGGGCAAATAAGAAGTCTGGAAAAATGCTGCTTAACCACGGGAATACAAATTTAATATTGGGAATCTGCGGTTGTACATGACTAGTGTTACAACAAGACGCTGAAGTCTGCCATCTATGATCACCTTTCTGTATCTTTCTTTTCTTTTTTTATCATCAGGTACCGGTTACTACAACGCAACGGCACAGAGCTACATCGGTGACCATGGAGCTGATCGCAACATTCGCACAATCAGAACATCTCATGAGAAATTAAAACGTGCTGCAGCTCACTATGTGTAAGGTTTTCATTTGTGTGTAGATTTTTCTGTGTTGTTTCAAATGTTAGAAACACACACAATTTCCCTGAACAACATCCGTGTATTCCTACAGTAAAAAAAATATTGACATCTATATCATCCAAAAATATTATCTTTATATCTTTTAATCATGTTTTCTATTTCACAAAGACTACAGCAAGTAATTTTTATGGATTACATCAGCGTGCGCATTACATTAATTTTCGCCTGATTTCGAAAAAAATGACAAGAAACTTTGTTGCCTTCTGCCTGTGGTCAATAAGCCGAAAACAATGGGCAAAGTCTGTTGCCATGCCGGAACGTGGATGGCAGATAACTATGAACAGAGGAGACAAGAAAAGGCTCTGAATCAAAACAATTTGTACAATGATTGAGTCAAAATTTTAAATTGTACGAACCTTTTTTTTTTGGCCCGCGTTGCTTTTTTTCGCCCGCTCGCATTAGATTTGGACTCTGCGGAGGATGTCATCCATAAAATTTACTTGCTGTGGCCTAACAAATAAAATGTGAGACTCTGGTGACATACTATTGTCGAGGCCGGATTAGAACATTTTCTTATCATTTTTCCTAGCACTGTTAACTGTCTTTTGTTTCCTTCGAGAGAGAACAGACTAGAACGGCTTCAGAAACGATCATGCGGTATCAGTAACACAATAACAACCTAACTACACCTCAATATTGAACCGCAACTCTTTGGTACAACGGCTTTCTCATCTCTGCTTAACCTTGGCCAATAAAAAAATGACTACCTTCAAAGGAAACAGATACCCATCAGAAACACACGAAGCGCTAACAAGCTGGACACTCTCATCTGTCGAGCAACTGTGCTCTGACGTCAGAAACCAAAGTACCCACATGAAACCTGCAATTATCAGGGGAGAATAGGGTTGCGAGAAAAATAGACTAGTTGACTATGTTATGTTAGCTGAGTAGCAGTGTAGAAGGTAGTGTTAGCCCTAATAGTGGATGATATTGTATCAGAAACAGCATATTATCAAAGCCGGAGCACAGTGAATCTATTCGGCTCGGACAATTCTATCCTAGTGGGAAAAGGGCCAGTGTTCACAAGGCTGCCCGTAGCCAGGGGGGGGGGGTTCGAAGGTCAAGGCTCAAAGGTCCACTTCTTGGTCCAAATTTTCTGTAAAGGTCTACTTTTTGGTCCACATTTTATGTAAAGGTCCAAGATTTTTCTTGAAAAGATGGACTGGAATCGTAGAAAAACTGCTCTTTTTGTCATTGAATAGAAATTTATCTCTGATTTTTTTTTCTTGGAAATCCTCTCAAAAATGCATGCTATTTTAGAAGGTTCATTTTTCAAAATTTTCCGGGGGAGCATGCCCCTCGGACCCCACTAGGAACCTCGCACCTTCGGCGCTCGAGGTACCCTCAAGCAGTGGGAAGAACCCCCCCCCCCCTTCAAAATCCTGGCTACGGGCATGCCTTACTGTCACAGGTATCACCTGTGGGTATGTAAGACAATAGCAGTGACGCACGCATCGTCCTTGGTTAACCTTAGGTAGTCCAACCACCTCAGTTTAGGACACACTGAAAGGCACAATTACGACGGACTCCCTGAGACTTTAAGGATTTTCAGACTCAAGACAACTTCCTTCCATACCGAGGTGAGTCAATCAACTTATTCTCTGTGCCCGACCCTCTTGATCAAGATGTATTTGCAGAACATAAAAGAAAAATTAAAAAAAAATTGTCGTTTCTAAATATATTTAGCTCATGCCTCATAACAAAATGGCGACGAGGAGATTTCAAAGAGGGAAAATGTCTAGCAGCACTACACGGTCAGCCACCTTCTCATACCATACTTAAAAGTAACAGATCCAAGGAACGTTCTACCTAGGCTAGGATTTCCATTTCTTCAGCTGGTTGCAAAGTAAGGAGATTTCGTGGTTTCAAACATAACCCATGAATGATACTACTAGTACATTAGGATTCTTTGTATAAATATTTCTACCTTTGTTTTATTTCTACAGACACAGACCTTGTCTTGGAGAAAGTGTGAAACTCACTGCTTAAAGGGATTTAGTTTTATGGCACGAGTAAAGTGGCGTTTGTGGTTTGACATGACATTGTGCCACACGCTGAGAAATATTACTTAAACACTGAACTGTGAATACTTAAAATATAAACAACAAGACTGGCAATGAAAACATACATTGCTATGGCGACGGTGGTTGTTGTTAGGGTTATTGTTTGCATGGTACTGTCATCATTTCATTTTGAGGAAGAGTTAGTCTCTAGACAGATACAGTGCACTCCTACACTGAGTGTATAGTGAACGAGCCCCAGGGTCACAGAAAGTATATGGCCATACGGGGCAGAGAGGTCTTCCCAAGGGTTTCCAGCAATGAGGGCATAGATGTGGGTCAGAGACATGCCTGTGGAGAAAATGTCTCTCCTCCTCTGAGTGTATAGTGAACGAGCCCCGGGGCCACAATATTAATACTATACCATTAGGCTCCTCCCTGAGACGTCGCCAAAAAGCAGTGAAAATATTTTCAAATTTTGAACCAGTGAAAAGTTGGTTCGGGCCAGTAGAAATGAGCACGTATTGATCCTATTGAGTTGGAGAGCCTTTCCAAACTTGAATCCTGACGATATATATGAACGTTTAAGCTCATGCATCTAATCTGTACAGGCGACTCATCAGTATGTCCAACATGGCGACGAGGATGCTGGTTCTTCTGCTGATCATCCTGAGAGAAGCTGGCCCGACCGCAGCCTGCAGCAGCAGCTGTTCATCAGACTGTATCTGCATCAACAGAAACCTCAGCAGTGTTCCTCAGGACCTGCCTACAACCATCACGTGGCTTGTCCTGGATCACAACGCCATAACAAACTTAAGTCAGTCCGATTTCGCAAGGTACAGGAGCTTGAGAAATTTACATCTTAGTTTCAATCAGATCTGCATGATCCATAACGAAACTTTCCATGACTTGACCAGCCTACGGAACTTGTACCTTGATAATAACCATTTGGGCAATATAACAACCGGCCTATCTGCTGGACTTGGTAACCTGGGAATCTTACATCTTAACAACAACCAGTTAAGTTACCTGTCAGCTGACATATTTAAGGGACTTGGTAACCTGCTAGCGTTACACCTTCAAAATAACAAGTTAACTAATCTGCCAGCTGACATATTTTTTGGACTTGGTAAACTGTGGTGGTTGTATCTTTCCAACAACCAAATAACTAGCCTCTCAGCGAACATATTTGTGGGTCTTGGTAACCTGGAAGAGCTGTGGCTTGACAATAACAAGTTAACTAGTCTGTCAGCTGACATACTTGTGGGACTTGGAAACTTACAGAGGCTTGAACTTGGTAGGAATGACATCCACAATATCGAGACAGGCTCCTTCAATGACATAACAAATCTGCGTATTCTAGACCTTCAATACAACAACATCAGCACCATCACAGCCGACGCATTAGGGAAATTCAATGTACTTCAGCTTGAAGCACTGGGACTTTCTGGTAATAACATCAATACTTTCCCTGTTGAGGCCTTTGTCAATATTTCAGAGCTTTCAGTGCTTGAATTAGATTATAACCAATTAGAGACACTACCGCTCATGGCATATGACATACTGGCCTCCATTTCAACAGTCAACATTAGCAACAACCCCTGGCAGTGTGGCTGTAGGATGGGTCCCTTTAAGCAGAGGATGAACAGGTCTTATCCATTTGAAAACCAGATCATATGTGCTGGACCTGCTAACCTTACAGGGCAATACTTACAGGATGTAAACCCTAAAGACCTGATCTGTGAAGAGACGACAACGGTCTTCTCCACGACCAGCACAAAACACATTGTTGACTCAACTGCCTCTCCTTTTGCTTTTCAGTCGACAATGATAGCAACAAAGAGTAACTCTGGCCCTACTGATGGTGGCATTGTCCTATCTGTGCCCGTGCTTGCTATTCTGTGCGTTTTTCTTGCACTATTCATTATTTCCACTATTGCCCTTTCAGTACGATACATGTGTAAGAGAAGGGGAAGAAATCCTAATCCTTTGCAAGGCTTTAGCACCACACATCCCACAGGCACATCTGATACAGATAACAGCCAGCATATCTATAACGTACCAACAGATGATGACACTGAGTCAGCAGTGTACTACAGCATAAAAAGTTATCGCTCAGAAAGTCAACACCAACATACAGGCAACAGGCAGAGCCTTGGCAGCTTTGGTTTTTTGGATTTACCTCCTTCCCTTCCCCCTAAAAATCAACAGTCCCACAAATATGTGAACAGCCATGTGACAGCAGCTGCTAAAAATGCTGCAGCTGGTCCACGTGTTATCGTGTATGACAATGAGGAGGAGGTAGCATCTGCAAAGGAAAATCCACAGTTCCACAAATATGTGAACAGCCATGTGACAGCAGCTGCTAAAAATGCCGCAGCTGGTCCGCGGGTTATCATGTATGACAATGAGGAGGAGATAGCATATGCAAGGGAAGGTCCACAGTCCCACAGATATGTGAACAGCCGCGTGACAGCAGCTGCTAAAGATGTTACAGCTGTTCCACAGATTATCGTGTATGAGAATGATGATGAACGAGTTGATAACCAATCACGGACAGCAGCTGTCCCCGGTGCTAATAGCCGTAACAACTATGAATCCCTGAGGAACCCCAGTAGTAAGCAGCAGCAGCACACATACACACCCCTGCTGCATCATGGTTTACAACAACAGTAACCAATTAATATTTCGAAGAAGAAGAATATACTCCCTACAAAAGTATGGTTACCCTGTGCAAGAGTCCTAAGCCAGTTAAGTACACCAGATCAAAGTTTGCGTGGTAACTCGAAGTTGGTATAGCAATTACCCAATACAACGTGGAAAACAACCCACGGCATCAAAAAGGCTATGGGACCTTAAGGTTTTTATCTTATAACATGCATTGATAATTTTGATATATGATCCAGTGGCTTTTACATTAAATATAGTGAGTTGAATTAATATCTAAAGTACATGTATCTACAATTGTATCAAAGTCACACGTTTCTGGTAAAAGAACTTGCTTGGTTGATGTTAATTAAAACTGAAAGTTATGTGAAAAGTGTTGAAATAGGTTTGCATTAGATACAGGACTGGTGTTTTAAGATAAAAATACTGTGATATTTATACTTAAGTTTTAAGTAAACTTAGCACCTTTCACGTGTTAGGATGACATGGCCAGTCACTGCGGATATTGTATACATGTACTATAATTAGCTACAGTATTACAGTATTACATGAAAATGTGCATAGTTTAAAAGGGAACTGACAACTTCAATGTAATAATGGATATGGCTTTCGGTTTGTCACAATGTCAGACTTTCTCTTTGATTGTGCCAATACATTCACTATAACCCTCGATACCAGTACTGATTTGAAATATCTGATTCCCTGTTTTAAGTATCGCGCGCGTGTGTGCGTGTGTGTACTCATTTCAGTGAGTAATGTACAAGTAGGTAATTGACAAGGTAGTTGACGAATGAAAATAGACTACAGATATCCGATGACTACTTGAGACGTATTATGGAGCCCTACTCCAAAAGTAGAAGAAAAAAAACAGTTTTGCCTAAGTAGGCTAAAAACACTTTAAATTTTGTTAACGAATGTCAGTTTAAGTCATCATAAATGGAGAGACTTCGCCGCAATTATACGGAAGTCAAATTCAGAGGTCAACACTTTACCGCCCAGAAACGATTAAAATTGCTTCCGTGAGAGTCGGGGGTTGCCAAGGGTTTGAATATACGGGCTTTTTGATCACAAAAATCAGAATAATGTGTTTTTCCACAATCTGATTGGGTTTGCTAGAAACAGTAAATTCCATCGGAATGACGTCATCGATTACGTCATTTTTTAACATCCATAAAATTTACTTGCCCTGGCCTTACAGACGAGTGAAGGGGCATACCATTTCAGCACCAAGGACACTTGCCGTTTCTATAGAAACAACTGTCAGTGGATATATTATGCAAATGAGAATCGTATCTAGTGTAATCAATGCAAACCGTAATTATCTGGTAAAGGTATGAGGCCATTGCATTTTCAAATTCCATTAAAATGATTAATGAATTGTGTAATCACCATATTCAAAGGAACGAACTGAGAACCAGCAAGCAACACGTTACAGTATCAACTACAGTTTTCGTTCAAATGAACTGACCCTGTCATGTATTTACTGATGTGGAAAAAAGGACAGTAAAAAAACATACTGAATCCATCAGCAAATGATTCTCACATGGTGAATATAACATTGTCTCTCGAAAGGTCACTAAGAACTAAGCTACATGTAATCTTGAAAGTTCATGCATCTATGTTGGTATAGAGTTCATGCATCTATGTTGGTATAGAGGTCATGCATCTATGTTGGTATAGAGGTCATGCATCTATGTTGGTATAGAGTTCATGCATCAATGTTGGTATAGAGGTCATGCATCTATGTTGGTATAGAGTTCATGATGAAACAGGTTTAAACTGTAAATTTCCAACACAAGAAATTGAACCGCGACGGGGGCCGATATCGTCTACCAGATACCTTTGACCCAGTGTTGACGTCACACTTCAAGGAAGCCACGTGACAAGTTTCACTGGGTCAGTCTACTGAGGAAGACCAGAGTGACTGGTCAAAAGCTCTAGGTGAATTTTTTGTGTTGGATCAAAAGTTTTAAATTTAAACAAGAAATGAAGGAATAGGCAATCCACCACTTCTGTAACGTCACATTATGCAGATGGCATGGAGGGCATATGAAATGAAGACTAAACGTCAGCAAAAATTTGTTGCAAGTGTTGGGAGTAAAGTCTTTTTTTTCATTTTGACTTGTACCAACACCGATGAACTTTCAAGCTTTGCTTCGTATGAAGTAAGTTAAATCTGCCCATTAGAATTACATCTTGTCTGGTCCTGACTTACTTAACAACACAGAGTGGACGCAGATTCATTTGTTAATTTATTCTTAGCATGAAAATTCATCTGGGTTCGTATATTACATAATGAAAATTCCAGTGGAATTTCCTCGGTCTTTGTCAGCTTTTTGAAAGCATCTGGTTCAGATGTTTTGAGTTGGAGAACATTTTCATTATCATTTCTTCATGGTAGTAATATCAAAGACCTGCATATTGCCCAGTATCTGCACAGTTTATTGTTGAATAAAGGTCCAGAAATGTAGACCTCTAACTTATATTAGCACACAAACCTGTACAATAAGGGAACCTACTGAAAACTGTAACTTAGGCCACACCAATATAATTTGTTGTTTCTCGGATTTTTTTCAGAAAAAAATATGAAGTGACAGGGCAAAATAAAATTAAAAAAACAACAACAGGACAAGGCACCCCATGATAGAAATGTTACAATATGAGCCATAAAGTGAACATACCAGGCTGGTTTATAATTAATGACAATAGATTTTGAACTTTTGATGAAACAAAATTGCATTGTTACATTGAAAAACTTTAACAACTAGGAAGAAAAGGTCTTTCTTCAACTGTTGGGGCCAAAATATGTCTCATTGAGCATTTTGCAGTTGATTTTAAAACAAAAAATTGCAAATCAGAAAAAAATGGACAGGGCAAATCCGAGAAACAACAAATCAAATTGGTGTGGCCTTAGGTTTAAATGTTGCCCAAACAATGTGCATTGGTACAATACATCAGTAAGGCAGCAGCTGCTGTAGTTCTAGCTATGCCTATGACGACAGTTTCAGAGAGAATTCCTGAACAACTTTATTACCACCTGTTACTGTCAGTATCACTGTAGAAGGCTGAAATTGCAATTTCAAGTGAGTCAAGTTTTTACATTCTTAATTTGTGGGAAGTTAGTCTATAAACACCTAACGCACCCTACCATCAGAACTGAGTTCAACTCATGCCTCACTTTACCCTTAGGCTAGTACATGTATATGTTTATTCAATCTTCAAATTATCTAGACAATTTCTTTATTCCGAAGGGGGCCAGGAAACATAAAACTTAGAATTTTATAATTTGGTATACATATGCTACATAACAGAAATTGAACATCCATAAATCATAATATTAAGGCCACGGCAAGTAATTTTATGGATGACATCAGTGTGTACATTGATTTTTGCCTGAGTTTGGAAAAAAAAAGGAAATTTATTGTCCTTTGAAAGTGGTCAACATGCCAAAAATGGACAAAGATGTCTGTTGCCATGCCGGAACGTGGATGGCAGATAACTATGAAGAGAGGAGACAAGACAAGGCTCTGATTTAATGTTTTGTATTTTACTTTGACAACTTTTATTTTTCAGTAAACTAATAGATGTTGTGATAGTTGGCAGTTAACTTAGCACAATATAGGTATCATTTCAGGTTTACGATGTCAATACTTGAAAGCGTAGAAATCTCTTTTTTCTTTCGCCCTATCACATCAGATTTAGAATCTGTGGAGGATGTCATCCATAAATTTAATTGATGTGGCCCAAGGGAAAGAGAAAAGACACACCCTTAGGAGTTGAAAATGAAAGTAGACTGTACTAGTACAATTTGTGCACTTTCACATCGACACCTTCGACGCCAGGTGGGGTGGGTTGGTGCAATCCTTTATAACTTGCCCCCTGGCATCTGAAATGAGTACTAGTACTGTGCAAATGCTATACCACTCACAGTCCCACACACAGTAAACTTTTTAAACCATTATACATGTACATTTCTAGGGGTGGGTACCTGTATAGAAAATTCAGGATCAGGTTCGGACCTAAACCTGGACCTGATTATTGTACAGTAGCACTGTATCATATTTTAGAGTGCGAAACACAAGTATAAGTCACTCACTAGTGTGTTATATATTATGGTCCAGTTGTACAATGTATCTTGAAGCTGAACACAGTTACAGAAAGAGACAAACATGGATTTAGGTTAATCTAGTTTGATTTATGGTTATTTTCTTCACCTGCCATGGCCAGATTATCTAAAAATGTGTGTACAATCTACAGAAAATTTATACATCAGGATTGATGATCTGGTTTTTGCGTTTAGGTTTTTTGGACTCAGTTCCCGAATGTCGTACCAGTTTAATCCGGTCCGGCTGAACCGGTACCCACCCCTATACATTTCTGTCTGTTTATTTGTACGTTGTTCCATGTATGTTGATGTTTTTCTTTCAATAAGGGATTCCAGCCTGATACAAAGAATAAAATGAAAATGATACATGTGCCATTTTGTGCATGTTGAGTGTGTTACGCCAAAGGCAGTTATACCGGCTATACAGATACAGATTTCAGCCTCCTACAATAATTGTCAGGGTAAAACTCCATTGAAGCTGAACCCCTGGTACAGTACAGCTAGCGTTATAGTTTCCAACTCTGAGTCTGACATCCGCAAACGCGGCATTGAAGCGATAAGACCGCGTGAAATGTGGCAAGACCGCGTTTGGGTTTCAACTATTACGTGTTCACCAGGCGTCAGGGTTTCAACTGTAACGCGTTTTCATACGGATGATCAAAGGGATGTGTAGTTTGTTTACATAATGTGGATGACAGACACATTGTAAGCTCATGAGCTGCTTTTCTTCTTGCTGGACTTCCTGCTACAGTTTTTCTTGATGATGTCACAGACTTCTCCCCTGTGCTTCTCCACAATCTTCACCATCTGTTGTTTGGTGTCGTTGAGTTGTTCTGTAGTGAGCTGGGCTCTCTGGATATTTCCCTACAACACACAACAGGACAGACAGATGGGTTAGTCTACTACAGAACCTTATGTCTCAGCTGTTACACAGTGCAAAGCCATGCCAGATAGCTGAATATAAGACAGTGAATGAATGAAGACCTATAAAGTTCTACTCTCTCTTTCTAAATCTTGTATAGTTTACATTCTATTACAAAATGTTTCTCATCTTCACTTCTTCCTAAATCACAGTACCGACATATCCGTTGTTCTAGGGGAGTGCGGTTATGTCTACCGGCTTCGATGTGTAATTTGTGGCAACTAACTCAGAGTTTTGAGACGGCAGTTTTGTGCCGTAGATTATCAATATTCATATACTTTTCTTCAGTATAGGTGGATTTGAACAGTCTGTAGGACCTCAGCTTGTTGTTGGTGGGTCCACCTTTATTATCATTGTAAATTTCATTTTTGAGAAAGATTACAGGTAGATGTCTTTCAAACGCTGATTAATGGACTTAGTAATTTGAGAAGTATTTGGCCTCTTGAACATGTGCCAAACGCCAAACACCTTATTTATTTATTAACGTGTTGGCTGGTGTTCAGTTAGGTTGCGTACTGTTTGGCTGTGGCTGGTTGTCTTACAATGTAGTCATTTTAACTGTATGCATGTAATGTCTCCTCCGTTCACAATTTATATAACTCCAGAGAACCATTTTTTCTTTGGACAAGTCCAATTGCGCACTTGCCCATGCAGGGCAAGTAAAAGTACTGTTCGGTCAAGTGCATGTGCCCCTATACTTGCCCGATTGGTCAAGTAAATTTTTGGATGCAAAGTATAGCTGCTACACTGAGTGAAGCCCTGAGTAAGGTGTCTGATAGACATCAAAACATAAGCAGGCAAGAGACATTGGAGCAAGTCAAACCACCTTATTTTTTAATAAATAAAGCTTCCAACATTATAAACTCCACAAAAAGATTATGTTGGTGGTAGTAAGAATGCATAGAAATATGTATATTTTGGGCAAGTGAAAAGTTAGTTTGGGCAAGTGGAAATGACCTAATATATATATAGTTGCCCAATAGGGCAAATGCATGGATTTTTGAAAACTTGTCCAACCCTGCTTGTACAAACTGAACAGAAATCCTGGGCAGTAGGACGTGTGATTCTCACCTGGATCAGTTCTTGGATCATCCTCATTTCTTCCTCCATGATGATTTTCTTGCCAGGAGCCTTCAGACCATCGTGGAAGCTGGACATCTTGGCAAATGTGTCCTGTTCATTACATGCCTGCAGATGGAACATACATTATCATCAGCATCATCATCATCTCATGGCTATTCATTACATGCCTGCAGATGGAACATACATGTACATCATTACCATCATCATCATCATCAACATCATCATCTCATGACTGTTCATTACACGCCTGCAGATGGGACAAACGTCATTATCATCATCATCATCATCTCATAGCTGTTCATTACATGCCTGCAGATGGAACATACATCATCATCATCTCATGACTGTTCATTACACACCTGCAGATGGGACAAATGTCATCATCATCAACATCATCATCTCAAAGCTGTTCATTACATGCCTACAGATGGAACATACATCATTATCTCAAGGCTGTTTATTATATGCCTGCAGATGTAACATACATCATCATCTCATGGCTGTTCATTATATGCCTGCAGATGGTACATACATCATCACCTCATGACTGTTCATTATATGCCTGCAGATGGAACATACATCATCATCTCATGACTGTTCATTATATGCCTGCAGATGGAACACACATCATCATCATCATCTCATGGCTGTTCATTATATGCCTGCAGATGGACCATACATCATCATCATCATCATCTCATGGCTGTTCATTATATGCCTGCAGAAGGAACATGCAGGTCTCTATCTCTATTGCCTAGAGTCTGCTGTTGATGTTCTGGTACTCTGGCCCTGTACGTAATGATTTTCCCAGTACTGTACCAGTACCGGTGCTCAGCAGAAGTGTACATGTTGTCCTTACCAGTTCATCCAGCTGGTTGGCCAGGTGGTGCACCTTCCAGCCGGCTGCCTTCTGAGCCAGTCCTTTCTGACTGCACACGTCGTGCAGGGACGCTTTCTTATCTGAGGAAACAAAGCCACAAACACACACCATGACTAGTGCTGTGTACCTAAACCCACATTTAGGTTCAGATCCGGATTCAAGTCCAGAGGTTTAAGTTCAGTTCCCGACTTGTAAGTCCGGACCTAAACCCATGGCATATACAAAATTGCATGTTGGCAACCTTGCAACGTTGTTAGAGCAAAACTTTGGCCACATAACATCATAAACATGCAGGCAGGCACTTAAAAATGCCCAATGGCAAATGTTTTTCCTAACTTTGCAGCACAGATTTTGCTTATGGAAGGTTTTAGGTGGTTTGGAAAGAAAAGGGTTATGTGACATGTTTTTGTGTTTTTTAATAAGTCCGGAATCGGATCTTGACTTCTAGGTTTTTATGGACTTGAACCTAAACATTTTTACAAGTCCAGAACCGGTCCAGTGAACCAGTACACAGCACTAATCAGGACATGGTACAAGTACACAAGGACTGCAGATGGTAAGAAATTAAAGATAATAACTTTAACCATTATGGATTGTTTGAAATATTAAAATGTTGATAATTACCTTTGACTTTAAAGTCGGAGTACCTCTGGAAGTGGTTGAGCCTGGCCTTCCAGCCGTGCCTGTAGCTGGAGAGGAGGGAGGGGCGAGGAAACCGCTTCAGGACATACAGAACATCCTCAACTGGAACAGACAACAACAGGGGG